ATCTATCCATAGAATTTAAAAGGATGATTTTTCATATTTTCAAATAATTAGAAATATCAAATAAAAGTTCTTTGAGACTTTTGTTTAATGTTATGATTTTTTTTTAAATCAACAGCCCAAGAAGATTTCAAGACAAACTATATTAAAATGGAGTTAAAATTGAGATTACAAATCAGTATTTAGGATAAATTGACAGGGATGTTGTAATTATTCTCAAGCTAAATGTTATAAATCCAGGAAATTCAGAGTTGAGATTCAGTGTAAAAATTTAAAATATGGCGTCAGGTGGTAGGAAAAAAAATCGAATGTTAAAAAATTTGTTTAATCTAAGACCACAAACCCCAAGGTTTAATCCTAATAATATTTTTTAAGTAGTGTTACTGGGCAGATTTAAGGTTGCTTGGTTGCCCTATCACATTTCCTATCTTAACATGTTTGGATTTCTTTTATGACTAAATGACTACACAAGGTGCAAGACAGTAAAGATCAGGTCAAATATCTCCAACAATTGAGATATTGCACTCTTAGAAAGCAGTCTAAATGTGCTGTGATGTATTTGGAAACTGGATACCAAGTCAGTCTCAATTTTGAGATTTGTTTAGTTGCAGGCCAATAGTTCAGGTTTAGTCATATCTTAGTCATATAATTTGGAATAAAATAACCCTTTAGAGAATGCTGCCTTAAAGCCTGATTGTTGATAACATGGCTGCCTCTCTGTTAGGCTGAGATACCATTGGGTTTAATTACACAAGCGTCTTTAAGTTTTAAGTACAGTGGCAGTCTGTATCGGTGTGATCTTTTGGAGCTGCTATTTTGCTTATTCAGTTACTTTTTTTTCTTCTGAATAATTTGAGTTGTATCAAAAGTGGCTGATCATTCCAGGCTACTTCAGTGAAGCAGTTATTTGTTTCTGTGTGCTGGTAAACCAATAAAAAGGGCTTTTAAGAAGAGAGAGTTGCTGTCATTTTACTCAGCACAGTAATCTGAGGGTTCAGACGTTACAAAGCAGTATTACAGGAACCTAACGTTGGTGATTGGAAGCCAGTTTCTATTTGTAGACAATTGGAAAAAACAATCTTTTTGTTCTTTAATATTAACTTTTAACGTTAAATGTTGTTGAAGCACATCATGCAGGTTGCTGAAGATGCAAATCTGTGTGGTTTTCCTGATGCATATGTTGAAAAGAGATTATACCGTTACAGTAATGTAGTAGTTACTGTAACAGCCATAATTGTGCTTTTCTGCTCCAACAGCTCTTTAAAATAAGTTTAAAAAATGGAGAGGACTCTATTATTTAAAATTTCAGCTGGGTTAGTTCACTCCATTTCCAGATGTCCCAGTACCTAGCTATATGTGGAAAATTAGAAGTTGGGCTATATAACTGATTACACTGGTCTACAATTTTTGAGAAGTCGTCTGCTTCAGAGATAAAATGTGCTATTTATTATGTATTTTGATGTGCTGAATTCAAATATGACAATTAAAACAACTGATTGGCTACTGTTTCTAAGATATTTAAGTTTTTACATTTTATGTCTATGTATATTGTGTAGCTAGTAGAGTTTTAATCATAAATTGTAAACCTAGGTCTTTTCATGTGTTTATGGTTGCTTTACATGATAATATTTCACCTGTCCTGTTTATGTAACACTTTAAAAATCAGCAAAAGGGTTATATAAATAAAATTTATTATGAAACAAAAGGCAAAAAACTATTATGTACATAGTTTAGTCCTATTCAATGTCTACTCGGCGCTTCTTGGCTTGTCTCTTGTATTCATTAAATGGAGCATCTCTTGTCACTGTCCAGCAATAGTCTGCAAGCATTGATGGGCTCCATTTGCCCTGAAAGCGTTTCTCCATTGTTGCAATGTCCTGGTGAAATCGCTCGCCGTGCTCGTCGCTCACTGCTCCGCAGTTCGGTGGAAAAAAATCTAGATGAGAGTGCAAAAAATGTGACGTGTTGCAATCAAGGCTTTTGTATGCCTTGAGGAGGTTTTCCACCACCAACCTGTAGTTGTCTGCCTTGTTGTTTCCGAGAAAATTTATTGCCACTAACTGGAAGGCTTTCCATGCTGTCTTTTCCTTGCCACGCAGTGCATGGTCAAATGCATCATCTCGAAGAAGTTCACGAATCTGAGGACCAACAAAGACACCTTCCTTTATCTTAGCTTCACTTAACCTTGGAAATTTTCCATGGAGGTACTTGAAAGCTGCTTGTGTTTTGTCAATGGCCTTGACAAAGTTCTTCATCAGACCCAGCTTGATGTGTAAGGGTGGTAACAAAATCTTCCTTGATTCAACACGTGGTGGATGCTGAATACTTTTCCTCCCAGGCTCCAATGACTGTCGGAGTAGCCAATCTTTCTTGATGTAGTGGGAATCTCTTGCACCACTATCCCATTCGCAGAGAAAACAGCAGTACTTTGTGTATCCAGTCTGCAGACCAAGCAAGAGAGCAACAACCTTCAAATCGCCACAAAGCTGCCACTGATGTTGGTCATAGTTTATGCACCTCAAAAGTTGTTTCATGTTGTCATAGGTTTCCTTCATATGGACTGCATGACCAACTGGAATTGATGGCAAAACATTGCCATTATGCAGTAAAACAGCTTTAAGACTCGTCTTCGATGAATCAATGAACAGTCTCCACTCATCTGGATCGTGAACGATGTTGAGGGCTGCCATCACACCATCTATGTTGTTGCAGGCTACAAGATCACCTTCCATGAAGAAGAATGGGACAAGATCCTTTTGACGGTCACGGAACATGGAAACCCTAACATCACCTGCCAGGAGATTCCACTGCTGTAGTCTGGAGTCCAACAGCTCTGCCTTACTCTTGGGTAGTTCCAAATCCCTGACAAGGTCATTCAGTTCACCTTGTGTTATGAGGTGTGGTTCAGAGGAGGAGGATGGGAGAAAATGTGGGTCCTGTGACATTGATGGTTCAGGACCAGAAGTTTCGTCCTCTTCCTCTTCCTCGTCTGACTCAAGTGAGAACGATTCTGGTGCATCAGGAACAGGCAGTCCTTCTCCGTGGGGTACTGGGCGTATAGCTGATGGAATGTTTGGATAATGCACAGTCCACTTTTTCTTCTTTGACACACCTTTCCCAACTGGAGGCACCATGCAGAAGTAACAATTGCTGGTATGATCTGTTGGCTCTCTCCAAATCATTGGCACTGCAAAAGGCATAGATTTCCTTTTCCTGTTCAACCACTGGCGAAGATTTGTTGCACAAGTGTTGCAGCATATGTGTGGGGCCCACCTCTTGTCCTGATCTCCAATTTTGCAGCCAATGCGCTTTTGTGATGCAAAAGTCACTTCACCACAAACATAGCAGAAGTTATCTGCACTGTTCACACAAGTACGAGGCATCTCTGCTCACTTTGGCTAAACAGAAATGTGTCCCTTTGCAAAATCAAACACTGACAAATAAGAGAGCACGACACTGTATGATTTCTAGAGCTGATATAGGGCAATTTGTTCAGCAGAGTGATGTAAGCTTCGTTATGATTGCGTCATCCATGACTTCTAGGAATAACATGATGCAGTTCATATCATGTATGATGCAATACCAGCTTCAGATTGCATCATTCATTGTTTTGCCTAAAAAGCCAGTACTGTCCAAACCCAGTCATAGATTTATTCATAGATCCAGTCAAAGATGTATTTTAGTCATTTCTGGTTTAAATTGAGATCCCTTCCCTTTATAACTCACTTATCCTCCCCCATTCCCAAGTCAAGGGTCGTATATACTGACCCAATAGCATATCTTGAAAACTAGAGCCAATCAACAATTTTAAGCATCATTTTCGTTCTCAGTGACCCAAAATTAGTAAAGTTTGACTACATTTATTTTAGAAGCATTTTGGCTGTAGAGCAGTGTTATAACAGAAACAAATTCTGCTTGCTCTGGTTTTCATGGAAAGATGTTGAGAACATCCAAATGTAGTTTGCACTAGTGCTTATGCAGCTGCTGGGACAGTTATTGCTGGATTGGTTACTAAAAGTATAATTTGAAAACAGTGAAGTTTGGCTGCCAGAACCATTATTGGTGGTAACTCCTGAGAAGGTAAGAACCCAGCTTCCCCCTCAGATCCCACAATTTGCTGTATGTACAATGCAGACATATTGTGTCCAAGATTATTGTGTAAAATATCATATATATTTTATGAAATATAGTTGCATTTAGCAAGGACACTTGTATACAGTCTGTATCTTTTTTTATATTTTACTGACATTCCCCCCTTTAAAAAAAAAAAAAAAATCAGGAGAGAATGAGAGAAAAAGGCAGAAAACCAGAAAGATAAAGGAATGGGAGGGCTGGGAAAGGGGAAGGAGAGCAACATTTCAGTTTCCATCCACTAGGATAGTTTGCATATCTGATATCCAGAATCTTGATTGTAAGTAATTTTTGGAGTTCTGGTATCCTTTCAAGTTTAAGAAAGAAACTGATTTACAGTCTTATTAATTATTACTTTCATGTTGTCTGCTAACCCAATCACTACAAAAGGTCTAAACAAAAATCAAATTTATTTTGTAATTGCAGTGATTTTAGTGCTTAAGAAAGGAGGTAGGATAGCTGACATTTTATCATCTTAGTACTTACCTGCAACTACCATTTTATTTCAATGTTAGCTCTTTCTTGACCAGTCTTTGTATCTATTCGCCCTGTGCAGTGATTTTTTTTTAAATCTAAGACTAGTAGAAATCATTTTTTGCCTTGAGTAAGCAAGTTTTAATGCCAATTCTCTCTGTGTAAATGTTGTGCATTATGAGCATCATCTAGAGCCCACTGAAGTCAACTGAGGTTCTCTGGTTTCAATGGGGTTTTGGTCAGGCCCTAATATGCTACATGTCCTAATATGCTACACACACAAGGGTAATTTGCAGTATAGAAATGTTTCTTGCAACAAAGAGACACTTGAAAATAAACATTTTCTTCTTGTTTTGAAAAGAGAACTGTATCTATGTTCTTTTTTTTTATTTTGACAGAAGAGTAGCAGCTCTGAATCCTTAAGTGACAAAGGTTCTGCTGAACTGAAGAAAAGCTTTGATGCAGTGGTATTCGACGTTCTCAAGGTTACACCAGAAGAATACGCCGTAAGCAATCAACAAGTTATCTTTTTGTGGGAATACTTATACTTTTGGTGCTGTTTCTTTTCCCCTCTTAACAACCCTATTTCTCCCCACCTCCCACCCACAGGGCTTCAAAAAGAGGCCCTCTGTGGTTCCTTCGGTCACAGGTGCTGACTTCCTCCAGGTCCTGGGCTGGACAGTACAGGACATACATTTCTGGGGGGAAATCTAAGACTGGGAGTGTGTTGGGGTCCCCCTGCAGTATAACCAAGACTGATAAGAGCCTGAGAGTAATCCAGCTATGGCTGGCAGGCTGCAGTTACACACACACACTCAAGTTGTGGCTTGCATGCTGGAAAGTTGTTTGTGAACAGCCCAAGTAGAAATTCCTTCAGCAAGGCATTGTAAAGCACCCAAAGTTGCAGGGCAGGGGTGACAGCTGCTCATTAGTCTGGATTGTACCCTGGTATGTTACAGAAAGGTGGTTTTATGATTTACAGCATTGGACTCGAGATCTGTGTTGTGTTAAGAACATAAGAATGGCCATACTGGGTCCGACCAATGGTCCATATAGACCAGTTTCCTATCTTCTGACGGTGGCCAATGCCAGCTGCTTTGGAGAGAATGAACAGAAAAGGGGCAATGTTGAGTGGTCCAGTCCCACCTGGCAATTGGAGGTGTAGGACACCTGGGGCATGGGGTTGTCTCTCTGACCATCTTGGTTAATAGTCATTGATGGACCTATCCTCCATGAACTTATCTAGTTCTTGTTTTTAATCCTGTTACATTTTTGGCCTTAACATCATCCTATGGCAATGAGTTGCACAAGTTGACTGCGTTATGTGAAGAAGTACTTCCTTTTGTTTATTTTAAACCTGCTGCCTATTAATTTCATCAGGTGACCCCTAGTTCTTGTGTTATGTGAAGGTGTAAATAACATTCCCTATTAACTTTCTCTATCGCATTCATGTTTAATAGACCTCTTGTCATATCCTCCCTTAGGGCAGGTCTACACTAGAAGCACTACATCGGTGCAGCTGCACCACTGTAGCATGTCTGGTGAAGATGCTCTGTGCTGATGGGAGAGTGTCTCCTGCTGATGTAGTGCCAGAGTGGACAGCGCTTAGGTTGCATCGCACAGCTGGGTGTCCTTTTCACACCCCTGAGTGATGCAACTTAGATTGATTTAAGTGGTAGTGTAGAACTGCCTTTAGTCATCTTTTCTAAATTGAACAGTCCCAGTCTTTTTAATCTCTTCTCATATGGAAGCTGTTCCATAGTCCTAATCATTTTTGTTGCCCTTGGGCAAGTCACTTTTACTTTGCCTCAGTTCCTCATCTGTAAAATATGGTTTATAATACTTGAATTATAATATCATTTGAGCAAGATTAGCTCCAGGTTTTAGCTCCTCAGTGTGAAACTGGTAGAATTCCCTTAGGTCATGAGGATTGGTAACCTTTAAGGGCAGCAGTAGTGGTGTAGAGCAGTGGTTTTCAAACTTTTTTTCTGGCGATCTAGTTGACCCAATGGAGCTGGGGATGAGGGGTTTGGGGTGAGGGGTTTCAGGTCTGTGGCAGGGGGTTGAGGTGTGGGAGGGGGTCAGGGCTCTGGGCTGGGGGTGCAGGCTCTGGCGGGGAGCCGGGGATGAGGGGTTTGAGGTGCAGGAAGGGGCTCTGAGTTTTTTTGGGGGGTGGCTGGGGTAGGGGATTGGGGCACTGGTTTACCTCGGGCAACTCTTGGTCAGCGGTGCAGTGGGGGTGCTAAGGCAGGCTTCCTGCCTGTCCTGGCACTGCGGACTCCGCTGCGCCCCGGTAGCAGCCAGGGGCAGGTCCGGCTTCTAGGCGGAGGTGCACAAGCGGCTCCGCGCAGCTCTCGCCTGCAGGCAGGGCCCCCCCCCCAGCTCCCATTGGCCGGTTCATGGCCAAGGGGAGTGTGGAGCCCCGTGGCCTCCGTGCCTAGGAGCTGGACCTGCTGCTGGCCACTTCCGGGGCGCAGCGCAGGGTCAGAACAAGTAGGGACTAGCCTGCCTTAGCTGGGCAGCATCGCTGACGGGACTTTTAATGGCCCGGTCGGCAGTGCTGACCAGATCCACTGCGACCCAGTGCCTTAGATTCCGCCACCCAGTACTGGGTGGCGACCTGCAGTTTGAAAACCACTGGTGTAGAGTGTAAGCTGGATGTCCTCTTTATAATAGCCTTTTCTCCGAATGCTTCAGTTAGTTCCTTCTTGATCTATAATTGATGCAGGAACTCCTTGTTAGACTGTGCATCTGCATTACTTCAGCTCTTCTGGAGATGCTCATGTATCCTTATAGCACTTATCCGTACTTTTCCAGTCTTATGCTAAGGAACTGAGGTCTGTCTGTCTAGTACAAATGCCTAAATTCCTTTTGAGAACTTTGCCTTGAATGCTCCCACATACTCTGCAGTGCTTCAGTACTTCTTTTTGAGGGAGGAGGTTTTGGTGCTTTTTCAGTGTTCTGGTTCCTACCCTGACATGTCAGTTTCTGCTTTGATATGCCAGACCCTATTTAGATGTGTTTTGGTTTGATTTTGTTGCTGAGACTTCAGTGTCTGTCCTGGTAGTGAAGCACAGTATTTTTCTCCAATGTGTGACTTGGGGTGGTCCAGCATATTGGTTTTGGGGATTTCAGGTTTCTTAACATATTGAGGCTACTTGGTGTTCTCAGCATTGGGAGGATCTTTTATCAGTCTCACTGACTGTCTGACAGGCTTTTTAATGCTTCGTACCTGTCTTTCAGATATGTTTTTGAAGAAGGAAGTATTAACTTTAGTGGCTTCAAACCATAGTAGAACTATGTCCAGGAGGAATGGCAATTTTTTTATTGTGTTTTCTGTCTTGTAGCTTAATAGGATACTCAAGGATGTCAGATTTCCTGTGGCTATCATCTTATGCACTGAGAAACTGTGCACGATACCTCCAAACCCTCTTTGAAATCTTGGTATTGGTGTGGGATAGCGTTTCCCCTCTGGAGAGAGACCAGCTGGAGGAGCAGGCAGCCAGTCAGTTCTCCAGCTTCCTGGGGGTGGTGAAGTCAGGCTCCAGCCCTGGGACGGTGGGTGGCAGGCTCCAGCCATGGGGCTTCTGGCTCTGTTCTCCGGCTGCGCGGTGGTGGGCTCTTGCCCTGAGCTCTCCCCGCATCACCCTTGGCTCCCACTGCCTCCCCCAGTGCCCCATCATCCCTGGCCCGCACTCCCTCCGTACCTATCTCTCTATCCAGGGCTTACTTGGTCCCTGGGCTTGTCAGGGCTAAGTAAGTCTGCTGTGAAAACTGATATTTGTATGTTTGTTAATATCATATTTCACAGCAGATTTAGTAAGCTAGCAAGTCTTAAGAAACAAAACAACCAAAAAAGCAAAAGAAACAAAAAAAGACAAGAATGTGCAAAGCACCTTATTTGTGTTTCTATTCTATTTAAGTCCAGTAAAGAATAGAGACAGCAGTACATTTTTATTATTGTCTGCAAAAAAAAAAAAAAACCTACATAAATAAATTACAATGATTTGGATATGTATATGTGCATATTTGTTTTTCTTAAAGTTGTTAAAATATTTTAGGAAAAATTGTCAGAGCAGCCACCTGCAAGAGTTGGTGGCCACACTCTGAGGCCACCAAAAAATTTGTTGTGAGAACCCCTGATAGTCCTCACTCAATTCATAAAACCAACCTTTGAACCTATGAGTGAGTGCTCCCTCTTAATCTATTAAACAGTGTTCATCATAGCAATACGTTTTCCCAGAAGAGTAAGGGAACTGCAGGCTTTGAAGGTGGATTCACCATTTACAGTTTTCCACAAACACAAAATGATCCTTCGTCACATCCTATATTCCTGCCCAAAGCGGTAACTAACTTCCCTCAAACAATCAGTTGCTCTACCAGTATTCTTTCCCAGCTTTCATATGCACTTGGATAAATAGAGACTGTACACATTACTCTAAAAGAGCATTATCTTATTATTTAAAAAGTACCAAAGGCTGCAGAAAATCCCCATATCTCTTCATATCCTTTAGAGAATTGTAAGGGTCAGGCTATTTCTTCCCAATGCTTCTCCAGATGGGTTAGGGTTATGTATTGAAGAGAATACAAGCTAGACTGTTCCTCTTCCCGTGAGGGTTAAGAAATGCTCCACTAGGATTAAGTCAGCCTCTTTGTTATGCTTTAAATGTCTCTATTATTGAAATCTGCTGAATTGCAACTTGGAGCTCTATACACAAATTCACTAAATATTATTTCTTTAATTTTAACATCCATGTCCAATGCACAATTTGGTAGAGCAGTTTTTCAGTCACAGTTGAATTAACCAGTACTGTGACACAGAATTCTATCAGACTATCTCTAGAGTAGGAATGTGTAGAGGTCACTTGGAGAAGCAGCACTCACTCACTCTTACATTCCCCTCGTCATCAGAGACCTTATTACAGTTGCAGACCTGAGGAAATTGTGGAAGGAATTTATTGCCACACTCCCTTTTATAGCCTTACCCTCAGAACATTTGGGAATAATGAGGAGGAGCAGGAAGGCATGTGAGAGTACTCCAATGACACTTCTATGAAGTGTTCCGTGGGGTTTGAATGTGTAGAGTCCATCTCAAACTGTAGGTACAGGTGAGTAAACCTCTATTTCTGTTTGCGTATGGGCTAAGCCAGTCCCATTATGATGAGAATCTGGAACATCACACAAAACCAGGCATGCATCTGGCCTTCATCCATACCCACAAGCCTAACATCCTGGTTTCTGATAGAGAAGCAGAGTTCTGCAGCCCGGGTGACTCTAAGCAGGTACTCTGGTGTTGGATATCTTGGAAGTAAACTGAGAAGTATGCTGAGAATAACAAGTTTGTGGTGTGGGGCAAATAAACCAACAAGGACCCCTTTACCTGCATCATACAAAAACTGCTTGATTATCGTTAAGATTAATTCCATCAAGGAACATGTGCCAGGTATTTTGACTTGCCATGAATTAGTCAGTTTGACTTGTCTCTGCAATTACATTCACACAGCTT